GTGTCTGTGTGTGTGTGTCTGTGTGTGTGTGTGTCTGTGTGTGTGTCTCTGTGTGTGTGTGTGTGTGTGTGTGTGTGTGTGTGTCTGTGTCTGTGTCTGTGTCTGTGTCTGTGTGTGAAGTTCCCTGAGACCTCGAGAAGGTGAACTACATCCCGTGAGGACTCTTTCCTCATAGTTCAGGGCCAAACCTGGCTCAGACCTCAGGCATGAGGGCTGCTGTCACTCAGCCACTGGCAGCAGCCTCAGCTGTGAAGCAGCTGCTTATCTTCTGACTAAAAACAGTCTCATAAACAGGGACCCAGGCCCATTCCTGGACATCTGTCCCATCCGCTCAGGTGCTCCGTGGCCCCTTTCCTAGCTCTGTTTGTTAAATTCGGCCACTGTGGTGACAGCTCCACTTGTTTGGATGTGAGCAAGAATCAGGGTTCATTTTCTGCACGTCCAGCGTGGGGCTGCATCCACCACACTCGTTCTCCATGGTAACGCGCCATCCCCTTCTGGAAACCCTCAAATCTGCTTGCTTAACAGTAATCAAAGGACAAGCCCACCAAGTCAGTCATTGGAAAGGCACTCATTAACCGCCTTTCCCAGAGTTAAAAGGTCTCTAACGAGGAGCCATTGAAGGCAGACATTCAGAGCTGTGTTTCCCTGGGCTGTGGGCTAAATTAGGCTCACTGTTTAGCTTGAAGGAAAAGGGCACTGGTCCTCACCCGGAGCAGGCAAAAGGCCAGCACATTCACCCCTCTGGGAGCCTCACACCAGAGCTAGAAAGATGCCGGGTGTGAGTGTGTGGAGTGGGGCACACGTGTGTGGCACCCCAATTGTGCTTCCTGCTTTGTGGTCACGCTGCCTGAGTTCAAACTAAGCTATTTGCTGCACTCATTAAAGGACAGACTATTGGAAGCATTTAAAATCAAGTGCCCTGCAATTTTCCAAGTTGTGATGGTTCCCCACAGGCTGAGGAGAAAGAGGTTTGCTGGGCGGCAACAAGGAGAGCAGAGAGGAAGGGCGGAAAACTGCGCTAAGAAACAAAAGGTCAAAGCATTGCTGTGAAAGTGAGTGTTGTTTATTTAGGTGGAGTCTCTCTCTCTCTCTCTCTCTCTCTCTCTCTCTCTCTCTCTCTCTCTCTCTCTCCCTTCTTTCCTTCCTTTCTGTCTTTCTTTTTTGCTTTCATCTCTAATTTGTGTTTTGTATCTGTTCACTAACGCTATGAAGATATAGCAAGTTCAATTGAGGATTTCATTGGGCCATAAAACCTATTAAATTTTGTCTAGCTCTCTGTAGAAACTCCCATCAGGGAGACTCTGAGGTCAAAAAGGCAGGAGATCCACAGAGCTAACTTGTTACCAAGGACAACCTGTGCTTCTTCCTATTTTACAAGATATATACATTTTCAAATATTTGAAATATTTATATATCAGAACTGTGGAACCATGCAGTGTGAAGAGTGGTGTGTGTGTGTGTGTGTGTGTGTGTGTGTGTGTGTGTGTGTGTGTGTGTGTGTGTTCTGGTGGCAGTGGGGGTTAAGGCTAGGCCCTCTTGCATGCTGGGCAAGCACTCTACCACTGAGCCCCACCCCCAACCTCTAGCACAGTATCTCTGAATGTTCGCTCATATTAAGGAAATGTAGTCACACAAGCTCCTGGTCAAGCTATTCCTACAAGCCAATCTTTATTTTTCTTTTAAAGAAACAGGACAACAGTTGTAGCTAGTTTGTGTTTAAACAGCTAAGAATCGTTTAAAACTAGGTACATTTTCAGGTAAATTTTGCTTCCTAACAATATTCTGATTCCAAATTAAAGGGAAAAAAGTCCCTGTTAGGGATGTCCCTCAGTGGATGGAGGGCTTGGCCCAGTACAGCAAAGGTGTTGGGTTCAATCCCCTGCGCCACTTATCGCGGGGTGGTGGGCACGACACACAGGCCTGTAATCCCAGGCATTCCAGAGATGGAAGTTAGTGGGTGACCCCATGCCCATCCTCTGACTGAGCCAGTCTCACCCCCATCAAAAAACAAAAATTCCTAGGTGTGTCTGTGCACGTTAGTAGCATATTTAAACTCTAATGAGAGGATATTCAAAATCAGTGCCTAGAAATTGCCTTGAATGATTCTGTTTGGAAATGAGATACAAATTTTGTAATTGCAAGTGAGTTCTTACTGGGTTTTGTCAAACTCTCCTCATGAGTAAACTTCATTTGTTTATTTATTATTTTGGTGCTAGGACTGGATCAGGGTCGCTTGTATTGTAGCATGACCTTTACGGTGGAGCTACACCCCAGAGAGCCTAGAACATGGAAAACAAAGATAAAATTATTTCCCAAAATGTACTGCTGCTGACTTAAAAGCAGTGTGAGACTTGAGAAAATGGTGGGTTTGTGGTTTTTTTGTTTTTGTTTTTGTTTTTGTTTTTGTTTTTTTTTTTGGAGGGATGGGCAGGGTTTGTTTGTTGCTTGTTCTTCTATTGCAAGGACTGAACCCAGGACCTCACGCTGGCTTGGTACCCATTCCTTCATGAGTCCTCACCCCCCTAGAAGGAGGTTCTTGGTTCCAGGATCCCAGGCCTGTGAAAGAATGTTTGGCTGGAGAGATAAGATCATGTTTCCTTACTAATGATGGAGGCATCTCCTGTGCTGTGATGACACAGACGAGGTCACTCCACAGGAAACTCTGTCTGCTTAAGGACAACTATGGAAAACCTCACAGGCGTTTTTACTATAGGTCTGTAATCCTGGCTCTTCGTGAAAGGAGTTCAGTGAACTGGCAGAAAATCGCTGGCTAAGGGAAGCCAACATGGAGACCCACTGTGAAGCACACAGCGGCAAAAACAGACGCCCAGGTGAAGGTAATTTGGTTGGCCATGCCCAACAGCTTAATCTGGTGTTGCTCACCCTCACACTCACCCGCCTTCACCCTACATAAATAGGGCTCAACCCAGTTACTCACCTAGACCCCCTTGGCAGATGTCCGTGCGTGTGGCCCCACCAACAATAAACTGGGGGTTGGGACACAATTCCTGAAAGTAGTTTAGGAGAAAACACAAGTCAGAGGACACCGTTCAGTGGCGGAGGCAGCATAAGTAAAAACTTCAGTGCACAATTCAGACCTGAAGAAGCCTAGCAGCTCATCTACCACTACACTACATACGTGCTTTCCCTCCTCTTGCAGGTCTGTGAGACCAGAGAGGGGAGGACACCAGAGTCACACAGCTACCGGTCCACAGGACAAAAACTGGAGCCCAGACCCCGTCTAATAACCAGGATCTTGACTGCTAGCACACTGGGTGTATGGGTATGTGGATAACGGGTGTGGTGTGGTAGGAGAAAGGCAAAGGCTGAGATGCTAATACAATGAGATATGACCCTGCCCATTTGGACAACACCCGTCTTCACACAGAGAGCCAGTTAGAGGGCTATTTGGTAAAAGGCAATGCACGCTGTGGGCAGTCCTTAAACATGTGACTAAGCAGCAAGGACCTTGTAGCTGATACAGTCCTGAGGGTGCCAGCAAGGAGGTCTGGGATCAAGGATGAGGTGTCAGGGAGGACCATTTCCAGAAGGAGAACTCAGACCTGATAAGATCATAAGCACGACTATATCTGCCATTTACCAGCTTCCCCTGGACATCTGCCCACGTGTGATGTCACCCTCGACCAGAAGGAGGGGCCAGGTGGTATGTGTTCAACCTTTTTCTTTTGTTTACCCAGGAAGGACCTACTGGGCCCTGTTCTGGATCTTACATTATCACAGCAGGCAGGGGAGATGGGAGGGTAGTAAAAGTGGAGAAACAGAAAGATAGATGCTGGCCTCTACGTGCTTTGAGTTTACACAGGCAAATCAAGCGACATTATTGGGAAACAGAGTAAAAAGCGTTGTTTTTTTTTTTTTTTTAAAGTGCATATTAAAAGTCCAGGGGGAATTCTGGCTGACCAGCTGGCCATGTGAAGATGCTGGCTGTCTGCTAGAAAGGTGGGCTCTGGTACAGTCTGCAGAGGTATGTCCAAAGAAGACAGTCATCCTGGACACAAGACAAATTGTTAAGGGGAAAGTGTAGGACCTCAAGCAACCCAAAGGAACTTGACCTACACTTACTTACTGAGAGGCATCAAACCGATGGGTTGCAAGGGAGGGGTGGCTCGCTACACAGTGAGAGTCATTGCTTACTCCACAGACATGAAGAAATGATAGATCCAACATGATGAGGAAGCAAGAGAGTGAGCTGAGCAAAAGGGGCAGAGCCCAGGTGGAGCTGTGAACAGGAGTTCTGAGATCTTACTGTAGGAGATGGAACCTTCTGGAAGGCAACCAATATGAACCTGTCAGCTCCTGCCTAGATGGCCAGAAACAGCCCCTCTCCCCTAACACCCTCTCTCCTAGCCCAACAACTATTTTTTATTTAAAAAATTTCCCCACCTGGCTAAAACATAACCATGACTGATATGGTATGTGGATCCTTCAAGGGCCACCAAAAGTCCTCCACAACTCACAAGGAGAGAAGACCTCTGCAGGACACAAGAACTTGCTGTATGCCTTCTCTGCCGTTAATCCTCAAAGCCGATATAGAGTAAGCAGGCAGCCAGAGAGATTTAAAAGATGGAGACCCTACAGGTGCTGTGGAATATTCCTTTACACTGTGTGAAGATGTGTCACTGTGATCGATTTAATAAAGAGCTGAATGGCCAATAGCTAGGCAGGAGGTATAGCAAGAACTTCTGGACAGAGAGAGATCTGGGAAGAAAGGCGGGGTTGTCAGCCAGATTTGGAGAAAGCATGGCATGTCGGAGATGAGGTAACAAGCCATGAGCCATGTGGTGGCATGTAGATTAATAGAAATGGTTTAATTTGGCTGGGCGTTGGTGGGGCATGCCTTTAATCCCAGCACTCAGGAGGCAGAGGCAGGCAGATCTCTGTGAGTTTGAGACCAGCCTGGTCTACAGGACAGCCTCCAAAGCCACACAGAAAGCCTGTCTCGAAAAACAAAAAAAAAAAAAAAAAAAAAAAAAAAAAAAGAAGTCTCCATGTCCTTTATTTGGGAGCTGGGAGGTGGGACAGAGAAATACTTGCTACAGGCCAGCTCCCATGACCTACGTTTTTGGATTGCTATTTTTTTTTTCTTCTTTATCCCCAGTCATGTGTGTTCGGGACAATGCTTCCTGGCCATCAAATAATGGCCCCAAGCACTCCTTAACACAAACTACCCAAGCCTTGCACTGGACCCAGAAGAATGGGAAGACAGGAAACAGTAGTCCCTATTTCCTGTAAGGAACTCAAGATAGGAAGGCCTGTATAAGCGCAAACTCTCAGAAGTGACGTGGTGACTGCTCAGGAACTCTGCTCTCCAGGACAGTGACTGGTGGATGTGGTTTGGCATTTGTGGGGCTGTCAAGGAGCCCAAAGATGCCATTCTCCTCACTCCATCACTCCATCACACAACCCAGCTCTTCTGACCCTCCAGGAACTGGTCCACTGAACGTTTCTAGCGGCCTGTTTCCTGCCTTGTTTTATCTGCTCTAACGATCGTGGACCACCGCCTTCTCTGAACACTCTTGCTTGCACGCTCTTTTACAGCCCAGCGCCTTGGCTCACCCACAGGCCTTCTCCTTCATCTCACCTATCACCCCTTTCTCCACCAATCCCAGCTCAACTGTCTTGCATAATTTTCCTGTCCAGTTTCACACTCAAGCTTCACTGCCTCCCCGCTGAGCTCCCCAGCATTTTGTTCGCTGAATAGTTTCCTCTCTAGCCAGTCTGTCACGTAATAAATACTCTCTAGAGATCACTCACTTTCTAAGCTTTCCTCATCACCCAAGGAGGTGGGCAATAGTACTGTTGTTCTCAATTCATGGGTGAGGAAACAGGCTCTCACAGAGGTTCGTAACTCACCCACAGTCACTCAGCTCTGAGTGATAGACAATGGACTGGAACCTTGACACTTGATACCCAAACCCCTCTTCTTCTCCACTCCAATGTCACTCAGTTGTCTGCCTAGTCTCTGCCTCTCCTTACTAACTAAAGCTCCTCCATACACCTCCCCACACAGGACAAGTGCACAGCTGATCATGGCTGAATTGGAAACTCCAAAGCTACGATCCAAGAGGAAGGACCTGGACAAAAGATGGAAGCTCCAAACAGAGCCTACCACCATTCCTCAACCTTCCGACAACTCAACCCCTCCATGTGTCTGTCAGCCGGGGCCCTTATCATGTGCCTGGCATGACTTCACCTCTGAATCCATATTTCTCCTTAAGATCAATAAACTGCTTAATTGCTGGAGGTGGGGATGGACACCAGACAGAAAAGAATATTGACCAGGCTGCCCTAAGTCCATTCACACTGGGCAGTATGCACTTCACGGGGGCTTAGGATAGATCCTGAGCCCAGATGGTGAGGCAAGAAGCTAAGGGAACTGGGGACCATCACTGTCTCTGTGGGCCGGCTACTGCTCTTGCCCCACATAAACAGGAAAATCCTAGGGGATTTCAGCCTCCCAACAGCAAGTTCCTGAGAACCCTGGTCGTATCATGCAACCTTCATCTAGAGAACTGTGTCTTCCATTCCTTGGGACAAGAGCCTAAGTGGATCTTCTACATAGAAGCTTAAGAATAGGCAGAAACAAAGCAACTATGTTCATCCTGGGTATGTAGCCAAAAGTATCACAGTCAGCTAAGACAGTGACACCCGAACACCCATGTTTATTATAGCACTAGTCACGATAGTCATGATATGGAATCAGCCTGGGTACCCATTGGCAAACGGATGAATAAAAATTATTGTATATTTATGAAGGTGTGTGTGTGTATGTGTTTGTGTATATGTGTGAATGCGTGTGTGTGTGTGTGTGTGTGTGTGTGTGTGTGTGTGTGTGTGCATGTGTATGTGTGAGTCTGTGTGTGTATGTATGTGTGTATGTGTATATGTGTGTGTGTGTATGTGTGTATGTGTGTATGTATTTGTGTGTATATGTGTGTGTGTGTGTGTATGTGTTTGTGTGTGTGTGTGTGTGTGTGTGTGAGTGTGTGTGTGTGTGTGTGTGTGTGTGAACACAATGGAGTATCATTCACTATAAAAAAGACAGGATATTGCGTCATTTGTAGGAAAATGGACAGAAGCAAAAATAATCATTTTACATGAAATGAACCCAACTCACAAACAAATATTACATATTTTCCCTTGTATGTAGAACTTGGGGAAGTATAGAAGTAAAGGGATGGCTGTCCAGGTGTGGACAAGGAAATAAAACACCCTAATTTGTAGAATTCTTAGATTTAAAAAAAAAAAAAAATTGGCAGTTCCCAAACTCAATAAAGAGTTATCCTCAAAAAGTAGCAAATCAAACAAAGAAACAAAAAGCAAACCAAACCATTGAAAAGGGGCTTGAATGGGCATTTCTCTAAAGGATACACCTATAAGCGCAAAGATGACAAGATACAGCATCCATGGTCATCACGGAAATGCAAATCAAGACCACAGTGTGACCACACCCTTGCCCTTGAGGCTGGCTTCCACTGCTCCTCTCCACTCTCCATCCCGGATGGAGCCTTCCCATGACCTCCAGTAACCCTGTGCCTCCTCCCAGCAATGAGTCTATCACAGCTTGCCCATAGCTGACTGTTTCTAACCTCAGTTTGTTCCCCTGTGTGCTGGCCTGGGGGCACTACGCAATCCTAAGTACCATGCATTCCGTTCCTCTTACATGCAGGGCATTTACCCTCCGCGATTAAGTTCTAGTTCTCACAACAACGCTGACACACAGTGGTTCCAGCAGTGCCATTTTAAGGGCAGAAAAGCTGAAGCTCAGAGGGATGAAGCTATCTTCCCAAGGCCACACAGCAGAGCCACTGTCGAGACCTACCTCGTCCAGCTCCAAATCTGTGTATGTTCTTCCTTAGAAACAGTTTTAGAAAGCAAGGCGGAGTCAGAACTATGGGATCCGAAGATAAGTCCCACCACTGTCACTTCCTTCAACTCTTGACCAGATGTGACAACCCTTCACCCTGTGTGACCTCCAACTGTGCCTTACCGTGGGCCGTTTCCATATGATGCCTTGAGTTTGCGGGGAGCCGGGTCCAAGATCCCTGTAGCCCACAGCTGATGGGCACGCTGGGAACTCGGGATCTTTAAATAGGACCCCTGAGCTCAAGCATTGTTTCCTCAGGGTCTCAAAGTCTTGTCCCAAATACTTCACAGCATTCTGGTTAGAGCCAAGACCCTCAGCAGCTGCGCGTTGCTTGGATACTACAGCTGCCCTGGCTGCCATGGCTGCAGGATGGACTGCAAAGCAGAGCTCCTGTGTCTTCTCAGACGTCTGCCCTATGGGGCTGCTGCCCTATAAAGCAGCATGCAGGGAGGTGGGGCGCGCAAACTTTTCACCTGAGGGAGGCCCTGCTCCAAAGGGACACGATGAGTCATTAACAGGATCAAATATGTACCCAAGGTGCCCGTAAATCTGCCCCACCTTCTCCTGCTGTTCACACTCTATTCAGAGGCCACAGGTGGAGGATATCAGAAGTCACTGGAAGCTGGCTAGTGCAGGGGCTGGATCCTGCCGCAGAGCCTCTATGAGGAGTGGCTCTGCCCATACCTTGGTTTTAGTCCGATGGAAATAACTTAGGACTGTAGGTCTTCAGGACAGAAAGTGGATAACCCTCCATTATTTTGCATGTCAATCCCAGTTCCCTCTGCCTCCCCTCCTCCCTTGCCCCCCCCCCAACTAACACCCTACCTATCCCATACCCTTTCTGCTCCCCAGGGAGGGTGAGGCCTTCCATAGGGGGTCTTCAGAGTCTGTCTTATCCTTTGGGGTAGGGCCTAGGCCCTCCCCTGTGTGTCTAGGCTCAGGGAGTATCCCTCTATGTGGAATGGGTTCCTAAAGTCTATTCCTATGCTAGGGATAAATCATTAGTGTGTGTGGTGCTTTACCTGCATGCACGCCTGTGCATTTCATGTGTGAAGTGTCCTTGGAAGCCAGAAGAGGGTGTCAGAGTCCCCGAACTGGAGTTACAGACAGCTGTTAGCTTCCATGTGGGTGCTGGGAATCAGGCCCAGGTCCTCTGGAAAAATGGCCAATGCTCGTAAACCCTGAGCCATCTCTCCAGCCCCAACTTCTGCTCTTTACAGTCATTACATGTATTTTTATTTGTTACAGAAGACACAGGCAACTAGTACAATGTGACAAAAATTCTCTGGACCACTTACAACACAGGCTCTCTAATAGCCTGAACCATTGCCACCATCTCTGAGGGAGTTCTGGGGGGCTGTAAGATGCCTCAGTGAGCAGAGGACTTGCCACACAAGCACGAGAAGTCCAAGGCCATCTTGAGCTACATAGTGAGTTCAAAAACAGCCTAGGCTGCATGAGATCCTGCCTCTAAACTGAAATAAAACAAAATATAAAATAGTCATGATTCAGTAGATCTGGGGTAAGGCTCAAGAACCCACAGTCCTTAGACCATTACCCCATAGATGATTCTAGAAAAAGGGTTCACACCGGACTCTGAACCTACAGATCCTCAGCTTCATGTTGCTGGTAAGCCTCGTGTCCAGCCCTGAACTAGGTACTTCTGAGTGAAAAAAAGCCCATGCACCTCGACACGCATGAAAAAGGAAAGAACTTGGTTTCTAAGGATTCATCAGAAATACAAGGTCAGATTGATCTTCAGAGGCTTGAGTCGGTTATCTGAAGGACTTGGCTCTTCCTATGCCTTGGAGTCGGTTATCTGAAGGACTTGGCTCCATCCCATCCCTTGGAAGTTGCCTGAAACACTGAGGATTCTGGAAGCCCAGCATCTCTGAGTTGGTAGTGGGGGGAGGGCTTATTCTTATTCCTGACTCTGTCCCCTCATTGCCTGAAGTTCATGATGAGCCACAAGGAACAATGTGGCCATTTCAAACCCGGATCTGACCACGCCAGCAAGCTTAGAAGGGAATGGGTCTCCTGCATGGCTAGTAGAAGCTTAAGCACACTGGCCTTGTTGACTTTGCCACCTGTCTCTGTGTCTCTCCTTCCTCCATGCTCTCCCACAGAAGGCTTGCCTTTTGTGTATAGAATGTCACCCTCGTGCTTCCTCAGGGCTTTGCCCGTGCTGCTCCTGCCAACTTAAATGTTCTGCTCTGCCCTCTGCTTACCCTTCAGGTCTGTGCCCCAGGAAAGGTTTTCCCCAACCCCATCCTTCAGATTTAGCCACCGCCCCCTTTTACACTATCAGACGAATATGCAAGGCCCTGCCCAGCACAGACTCCTGCAATCAGTGAATTAAAGCCCCTCTGTGCCATCAGTCTGGGCATTCCACAAGGACACCTATCAGGGCTGGCTTTGTCATTCAATCCCTGGATCCTAGGACACTTCCAGAAACTCAGTTACATGTTCGTTATATGAAGAAACAACCATAAACCAAGATGTCCAGTCACTGAGTATATCTAAACCAGCTATAACAGACCTGGAAACCCCACACAGGGCCACTAGTTAATTAATAAAGACTTCAGGGGAGTGTTTCTCTTCCTGTTTCTTCCCTATGCTTCCCCAAAGCATTCCCCTCAGACTGACAGGAATGGGCATGCCTTCCTCCTCCAAGCACAGAGGCCTCACAGCTGGTGATTTTGCTTCCCCACGAAGGAGCTCCTTTGGGGCTAGCCATCTACCCTTCCTTCCCTCTCTCCCTTCCTAAATTGCCTCACTCCTGATCCAGATACCATACCACCAAGCCCTTCCTCTGCATGCAGGCAGGTCTGAGCTGCTGCAAATAGAGCCCTCATTTGCCCAGTCACGGAATGAATGGTGAGTGGCAGAGGGAGGCCTTGCTCACCACCCCCTCTTGATCAGACAACCAGTGTCTACCTGTTATCCAGCCAGGCACCACAGAGGAAGCAGCCTGGACTCACAGTCTCTGTCCATCTGGACAGATGTCTTCCCAACCTCATGCCTGAGACAGCTGCAAGAGCCAGAGCCAGCTCCCTGCCAGGAAGCCTGAGGATCCATTACAGAGGCAAGGAGTCTGTACACACACCTGCCTGGCAGCCCCTACTTAATAAGAACAGCTCTTGGCAAACAGCCCAAGTGCACATCAACCAAGTTGGTCTCTGAGCCTTGCCCACAGACAAGCCCTCCCCTGCTACGGAAAGCCAGGCAGTAGAACTCCCCTCAGTGAGAAAGATGAATCACCCTGGTTGCACCCAAGAGCCCAAGTGTGCTTCTCGGGCAATTAAAGCCTGCAAAGCTTGTTGTCTTGCATGACGGTAGCACTGGAAAGGGATGGGTGAAAGCTGGCAGATTCTTCCCCTGAGCCTCCCAAGTTCCGAATGCTAAGGGAAGCAGGGGTTGCCTCAGTGTCAAGAGCATTTTGGGGTTCTCATACACGGCTGGCAGAAATGGAAACAGTACAGATGTTTTGGGAAACAGTCTGGCCATTTTGCAAAATGCCAGACGTAGAGTTGCATGGTAACTCCCAGCAGCACTCCACAGTTAACACGCACCGAAAAAGAATAGAAAGTAAATGTCCACTCAAACCTTGTACACAGATGCTTGTACAATGAAGAGTGCTCCATAACAGCCAAAGGGCAGAAATGAGCAGCCACCAAGCAACGCGTGAGTAGATAAACAAAATGTAGTACATCCAAGGGAACAGAATAGTATTTAGTCCTAAAAATGAGTGCAGCGCCGAGGTGTGGTGTCATATACCTAGGATCTCAGCACTTGGGAGGCAAAGGTCAGATGATCACGAGCTCAAGGCTAGCCCAGATGACCCAGCAAGACCCAATGGCTGGCAGGGGGCAAGGGTAGCTCAC